AACTTTGCATGGCTACATCTCTTGTGTGAGACGCGAGTGCAGCAGTCATATTTGTCCGTCTAAAAAATGTGCTGAATATGCGTTCTGTGTGAATGGCTTGGTTTCGGTTTTAACCTAATCAAGATCTTCTCCGCATTGAGCTTCTATATTTCTATAATATTTTGAATGCATAACGCAGCAACTGCGCATCTCGTGGGTTAGACTAACAAAACATTAAAATCCAACAACATCACTTACATCATTATCACCGCATATATGCTCCACTGAAGATGCTCCCCGACGCACTCCTAACATTTGATTGTACTATTTTTGCATTCAAATGCAAATGTTTATTTTAAATTCGACTAATATTCATTTTTTTATTCACAATCTCCTCATCTGTGGCAGGCACAGCACTCAATTCAGCATGTGTTCATGTTTGTGTGAGCTGTCTGCGTCACTCATAGCAAGTGCCTATATCGTGCACTATATCAAACATTTTTTATATCGTTATCGAAGAAGGTGTACTGTCGATAAATATCGATACCGTTTTATCACCCAGGCCTAGTCAAAACTAATGAATAAAATCATTAACATGCATTTGTTCAGTGTTTAAAATGATGTTCTTGCCCTAACCTGATTCATTACTGTAAGTCTAGAATTATAATTTGTAATATGAGCGGCTGGAATGGATTTGACATTTCAGATTTACATAATTTGTATTCACATCATGTTTCATATAACATTTTTCAAATATATGCAATGAAAGTGTTCTTACTATAGGGGGTGTTGGTGTAAATGACAGATCCACTCCAAAATGGTGATCACAGGCAAACACAGGTATAAGACAAACTATCATATTCTTCTGTGCAAAATACAATAAAAGATAAAATAATAATAATAATAATAAAACAAGTTTGCAATTAATTTGCAATTTCATTTTTCAACCACAGATGGTGATAGACAAGCCAAACTGGCATAAAGAAGGTTTTTTTTCCCCACTGTATACCTTATTAGTTTGTCTGTTCCTAGGAATCAAACCAATGGCCTCGCCATTGCTAATGCCGCTGCTCTATTAAATACAGGAACAACTGCAGAACAAATTCCCCAGCTACAAGTGCAAATTCCTGAAGGCGAGTTATGAGTATTCATTTCTGTTTTGTATTTGAGGCATCAGAGTGGTTATTTTCTACTGTGAAGAATGTTTCCTTACTTATG